TAATTAAAACTAATAAAATAATCTATAAACTATATAAAAATATTAAGAAAAATATAAAATATAATATAAAGCTAAAATAAATATATAATAATATAGAAAAAAAAAGTAAATTTTATTACAATATATATATACTAATTATTAGAAAAAACTCTGATTATATCTAATATAAATTTTTCAAAGGTCTTCTGCAGTATATAGAAAACATTATTATTATTATAGCAGCAGATTCAGAATAAAGAAATAGAAGAAATTTTCACTATTTTTGATACAAGAATAAGCTACAGGGCTAAACAACATTTAGATATTGAAATTATACTATCTTCTATTTTTACAAAAGCCTAATAAATTTACAAAAAATTGTTACTCTTTATCAAAGATCTATAAAGAGATAAGATAAACTTCCAATCTTTAGAAATAGTACTAGATGAAAGTAGAAAAGATCAACTAATAATTCTATATGTAAGAGTAAAAAAAAATCTACAAAACTTGTTAATCAACTTACTGAATTTCTACCTCTTGGAAGAGAAAATAAATGATATGAATTAGAAAGATGCTATCTGAAAAATTCTTTAAGAGAAATTTCTAAATAGGTATAAAAACATTTGAAAAATAGCTTTCTATGCCTATATCTTATATTCTTCCTGTAGTATTTTAAATCTTTTTAGTATGAAAAATATTATGCTTCATGTTCTATTAAAAATATATAAAAATGTTTTCAAAAAATTAGTTGATAAGACAGAAATTATGAAAGATCAAGAGGAATTAGACATACTTATGCTTTATAAAACTTTCACAAAAGCTCAAGTTCAAGAGGAAGAATTGTTAGGATTATAGCCTTTTTATTATTTAGTTATACTTGTATATAGTTATTTATTTATAATTCATTTTGCTCATATCTTTGTTTATATTTAAAAACTGTAATAGTTATACATATAAGCAGTTGAGGCAAAAGTAAACATTAAGATAAGCAGTTGAAGCTAAAATGCATATCTGGGATTAGTGACTTGAGCAGTATAGTTTCATGTTACCTTAGAATGAGATAATTATAGGCAAAACAACTGCTTATAAGAATTTAAGTGACTTGATCATAGATAAAGTTTCTTCTATATAGCTTTCACAAATAAAATTATATAAATAAAAGTTTTTTTCACCTTTTTAAGAAGAAGACAAGTTATAAAATAAGTTACTAATACTTTTTAAATAAATAATTTTCTATACTTTATCTTAAAAACCTCTTTCAAAATGTTCCAAACCTTAACTTACCTAACTTCATTTAATAAGTAATTGTTCTCTTATTATATTAAACTATCTTTGTATATAAATATATGCTGTGTTTTCTATTTAACATAAAAGAAGTAAGCATTAGGACTAAATAGACCTTTTACTGAATAAATAAGAACTGTATATTATATAAATTTTATTGTATATTATGACTACAAAGAACTACATAGATAAATATTAATTATATCAATTGATTATTTGATAATTAAGTTACTTTTATATTACAACAATTTATTTAGATCATTTTTAAAAACATAATTAATATTAAAGCCACTCTTAATTAAATCAATCTTGATTATCCCTAAACTACTAAACCTTCTGATCAACTATTTTTGATTTAACTATAAATTGAATATAAAATTCTATTTAATTACTTCTTCTAATAGTAATTACATTAGTAAACCTAGTATTATATTAACTATTAGAACTAAACTGTGTAATGATATCCATTTTTCTAATTTACAATAGTAACACTATTAATTACTATATTATTACTATTACAAGTTAAACGAATGAATAAAAATGAATAATAATTAAATAATAAAATAAAAATCTTTTATTATTTTACCTTATATCTGTCAAATAATAGTAATATAACAGCAACATAATAACGGAATAATAGTAAAATAACAAAAAATTTGTTGATATAAGTAATATAATAGTAATATATTAGCAAAATTATAAATCATTATTTTTTTTATTATAATAAATAATTAATCATTTAGTCAAATTAGGTTTATTTGTTAGTAATACTTTTAAGTATATTTTTAGTTAGTAAGAATACAATTTGTTATATATATAACTTTAGTTATTGTCTATTTAAAAGTTTTGTTTTAAGGTTATTTACTATCTGTTATATTTAATTTTTGTTTATAAGTATTTTATTTAAACTCTCTAGCTTTTTAATTAGTATTATATAACTTTAATTATTTCACTTTAAGGTAAATTATTTTGTATTGTTTTTTATTAAAAATTACTTAAATTTGATTTTATTCTTTTTTATACTAATATTTAAATTGTATTTTTCAAATTATTTTATTTAATAGTAAGATTTAGAAGATCCTATTGCTAATTAACCTAATTATTTTGCAGACTTTAATAAAGTTATGTCTTTACAGAGTTTATTTGAACTTTAGAATCTACTTTATAACATATTTTTAGTACTTTAATATATTTTTATTTTATATTTAGATTTTTAATTTAAATAGTTTAGTAGAACTATAATCTATTCTTTATATACTAAGTTTAATCTGATATTCTTTTTCTCTGATCTAATTTTAGTAGTCTAGTTGATAATATCATTTATTTAAAAGTTTTTGTCTATTTAACTTTTTTATATTGATATTTGTTTTTTAGATCTAATCTTTATAGTAATACTATAAAATCTGTATTATTTCTTTATTTAAATCTTTTTAAATAGGTTTCTGTTTTTTTAATTTTAGAAATTTATATTATTACAAAAACTTATCTTGAATTTATATTGTTTGATATCAGTTTGCATCTTTTTGTATAACTAAAATTATACAAATATTTTATAACTTATTATTCATGCTAGTGCAATTATAGTTATAAGTATTTATTCTAATTAATTAATAAAAAATAGTTGTTATAATATAGATAATAGGTGTGGATCTTATAGCTTAGTGGTTAAGCTTCCATACTCTCTATAGTCAAGGCCAACGGTTCAAGTCTGACTGGAGGCAAAATTGAAAGATTTTAGCTTTTGTAATCTAATAAGAAGCCTGTAATTGAATATGAAGCTCTGTAGTTAAAGTTCAAATGCAGTATAATGATAGAAGTAGAAATTCTTAGAAGAAGACCCAATCATGAAGTAGAAGCACTATGCATAACAAATGGTTGTTACAGAAGGTTATGGTTATAGAAGAATTGACATATAAGTTCTTTAGACTAAGGCAGTATTAACATCCTTATACCTTCTAAGATAGGCAGTACTAACATCTTTGCATCCAACTTGTAGGGTACTTGCTTAGAAGGATAATTAACAGATTGTGCAAATAAGTCTTAATTGGAATCCAAGAAGAAGATTTGATTAGAAGAGTAGTCTAAAAGTAACCAAGACTAAAATAGTAAGAGAAGCAATAAACACAAGGACAGACTATGATAAAGAATTAGTTTAACCAAAAATTGGAAGCACCTTTGGCACAGCTGAATAATCTAATTATAGAAAAAAAGATTTTGGAGATAGGCATATAACTTTCTTGTACAATATAAAAGTACCAAATTGGGTTTTAGTTATACATCAGCAAATTTATAAATGCGAAATATTTCGAAAGATTTTGCATAGCACAATAATTTTGAAATATTGTGAAATAAATTTCGAAATTTTTGTTAAATGCAAAATATTTCGAAATATTTCTAAATATTTCAAAATATATTTCGAAATTATTGTGTTATACAAAAGATTTCGAAATATTTCGCATCTATGATCTATATTGCAGCAATTTGGTTTTTTTTTTAATTTCAATCTTTTTTTTTTATTTCGATCTTTTTTTTTATTTACTATTTTTTTTTTCAAATTTTTTATTTACAATTTTTTTTCTTTTTTGTCTTCGTTAATTTTTTTTATTTTTTTATTTTATTTTATTTTTTCTTATTTTTTATTTTAATTTTTTGATTTTCTTTTTTTTTTTGTAGTCTTATACTTTACTGGAAAGGCTGGGATCGGGATCTAACCTAGAACTGATACAAAGGTAAGTACCAGTTCACTTTTTTTTGTTTTTTTGTTTTTTTTTTGGCATTACTAATTATTGTTTCTTTTTTTTGTAATAATATAA